ACCAGCCCTCAAAATCGCAGGGGTGATTGTTCCCAATAAGAGTTCCATCCGTGGCGACACAGCAGAGCAAAAAGCCTTGAACTCGTCGAAAGCCGTCGACAGCGATATTACATTCCTCAGTCGTTTCAGGTAACATGACGCACGTTGACCGCATAACTGCATGTAAGCGAACAATCGTATTAATTCACCACGTTTTGAAACACTACATGCTAAATGCCTGTGAAGTTTCTCTAAAACCTTCGCTAGATTAAAAAACAATGTACAAGCTACAGCCCTGTCAAAGCTATGCTTCTTGAACAGTTTGAATGGAAACCCACCTCAAAGTGCACTACAAAGGTTCCGAAATGTCACTTGCGGTATCCGGATCGCTACGACCAGTCGATGCTTTGGACACCACTTTGACGCCGCGTCGTCACTTGGACCGTCGCCTTCGATGTCAATAAGTCAAAAATAAAATGAATGATCCTTGAACCACTCCGGCGATGGTTCGTGACTCGATCCACTGTCGCTGAGCAATACTCTGCATCGCATCTGCCCTCGGCAATACTCGAGCCACGGACCTTGATGAGAGTCTTGACAGCTCGCAACTTGACCCCCATGCGCGGCTTCGTACGTCGTACCGCTGCCTGAGCGCTCAGCCTCACCAGTATTATATCGTCGCTGGTACGTTTGCTGTCATCAATTCACGTCTTGCTCGCTCTCGTGCTCACTTTCTGTGCTCGCAGCTTTCTGCGACGATTTTAACAGTGTAAACCCGCCAACAGAGCGCTAAACTGTCATAGATTTATGAGAAAAAGGTACATTACGTTGGATTTAGTACAAATATCCGCAGGGGGTGCTGTGCTCAGAAAAAAGTGCAAAACACCTTTGAAGCTCTCAAAAGTACCCCTAGAAAATGAAGATAATTCTATCATCCCCAAAATATCTTATTTGTACGGTAGTGGAAGCAATTGTCATTGATAATATTTCCTCAACGATCCCTAAAATGAACTATTTGCTGGCATGTCTGCAGGGGGGGGGGGTTGGAAGATTGGACAACCCCTTTTCACGTCTTAATCTCTAATAGCAATCTCCATCCGCTTTGATAGGTCCCCCCCTCATTTATAATAGGAAGTAATGGCAATTGCTTTCACTACTGTATAAACCATTGCCCTATTCATAGCAAACGTTATATATTCCCGTTCGTTGGAATACTACTAAAATATTATAATTTACATATTATGTCAGCTAAGGTTGTCCGTCCAATTCTGTCACCTGTCATGATGACAAACCATCTTGCGAACATTTCGATTCTCCCTAGGTCATCTCGCTGCGAAAAATGACCAAAAAATTGAGAGCGAAGAAGCAGAAGACTGCTTCAAACGGCACACCGCCAGCTGCCGATGAGGCAGTGAAGACATCATCAGAGGAGGACACTCAGTTCACGGAAAAGTTGTCGATCCTGTTGTTTATCCAACCTTACAAAAGCAGCAATGTTTTCTATGTGCGTGAGGGCTACGAGGAATACTATCAGCTTATGAAAAAAATGCTTTTGACCAAGACGGATAAGTGCGTGACCGTGACGGGGACATCAGGTGAGTCGAACGGCACAGCTGATAAGCGTTTAGTGAAGATGCTTTTCATCTCTGACGAGGTTGCTTTTTTTTAGGCATTGGCAAGTAGGGCTCCTCAAAGTATTATTTGTATGGTTTTTTCGTTTAATGAGAATAGATACCTGTATGCTAGGTCGGAAATCTGCAATTAATATTTGTGCTGCGACTGTGGCAAATAAATATCTGCATCAAAACGTGATTGTGTTACTAAGTTTATCGCGCCATACTCCCTAAATCACAGCACCGACAGTGGTGACATCCATATAGTGGCTGTTCACCTTTAGGAATAGCAGCATCTCCAACATCAGCGGCGAAAGTCGATTGCGCTCGTAGCGCAAGATCATGCGAGCCATACTGAACAGTCTCTCTACTTTGTTGGCGGTAGGTATAATGACAGATATCATCGCGTAGGTGATGGGCTCCGCGGTGATCTTCCTGCGCTTGAGGATCCGTCAAGCAAAGCCTAGCTTGGCCGATTCCTCTACTGGGTCGCTGCTCCTGCTGGTCGCGCGTTGTAAGGGCCTCAGTGCCTCTTTTTCAGCACTCGTCCGGTCCTTCTCATGGCCACCAAGAACTTTGACCACACCACCTTCAAAATCTGGAGAGTGCACGATATCCGCTCTTGGGGCTAAATGTTTATTAAAAGAAGTTAGAAAACCTTAGAAAAATAAAATAAAAGCAGTGCCTTACCGAGATAATTGGTGAATCTTGGTTTTATCTCCAACCGCCTATCCAGTAGATCGCGAGCGTCAAGAAGGTTAAGCTCATCCGACTGCGGTTTCTTGGAAATTGATTCGATGTCGCCCATTTCCGTCAGCAGCGCTAGGAGTCTGCAATTAGTGGCTGGTGGCGGTAGTTGCTCGACCAAGTCTTCCTCGTCCGCGTTTATAACCTCTCGGAGCTCAAAATAGCGAGCCAGCATCGCGTACGTCGACCCCCATCGGGTTTGCTGACGCAGCTTTAGCCAGAGTGGGGTTTCCTTCCGTCTATTAAATAATAAACAAAAACCTGAATTGAAAAACCTAAAATAAAGTATACAATAGTGAAGAATTTATCTCAACTTCGCCGCTTGAGTAATCGTCCTCAGTTTTTTCATTAGCGACTGGACTTGTTCGAGGTCCTGTTCGTGCGGGTTCAGTAGCGTTCGGCCTGCAAGGTTAGATGGTGGCTTGCACAGCCAACAAACGGAACACCCATGAGACGCGCAAATTGCATGGTGACTGCGCAATTATCGCCGACCATGAATATGCAATTAGATAGGCCCTTAGTGAAAAATGACTAAAATGCCGCCAACGCCGCCATGTAAGTCTCGGCATCTAACCACCCGCTTGTATCCACGGCGATTGGCACTTGCGATAGTAGAGGGTACCTGGGTCCGGCCCTGGCTTCGTAGCACCTGAAGACAGCGAGGTAATATTTGGACCCGTGCGTCCACCCGTCCAGCATCAGCCCGAAATTGTCGGGTATCTCGTCACCCACGCGCCGTTCCACTGCCTTGGTGAGATCCTCATGCTCTCTCACAGCGTATTGGCCGAGACGGGAGGCAAATTAGTGTACCGAACATGAAGTATTAGAGTTTAAAAATTGAAATGAGGGCGAATTGTAGCCAATACAAACCTGCGTGTGGCCTCCCTTTCAACAATATGAGAGTGGGAGGTTCCCGTTCACAACTCATTCCAGCCAGGCGTACCTCGTCGAGGCCTTCTGGTGGACCCACGGGAGGTGAGTACCCGTTGCCGCGGCACTTACCGCCCCCATCTCCTGCTCGTAGCGCGGGTGGTCGGTGCGCACGTGGGACACCAATTTGGTATACCCCGTGTTGGGGACGTGCTTGCGGGTCTTGCCACAGGCTTTGCAGACCTGAAGGCCAGTAGGATCTCCGGTTTCGGTTAGGTAGGGCTTGAATAAGAACAAAGCAATTTGCTTCCTCCTCGAGCGCTGGGAAGGCATCATGGAAACGTCGGACATGGCGAAGGTCGCGAGAGTTGGTAGTTTGGGCTGTGTGCGAATTGAAACGTGAGTTTGAGTCGGCGGCACAAGTTTGCATACCAACGAAAACCTGGTGGCTGTCGAACAAGAACAATAAATTTCGTGTGGGAATACTTAAAATCCATAAATAAATTTCAAATTGTGGCCAAACCATAAGTAAAACAAATGCAGAGGAAAAAATTTCCCGCCACCTTACCGAGTAGCCTGTCCGTCTGTCAATAAGTCTGTCCGTTTCCTTTCTTGCTGCCTTTTCCTGCCTTTTCGCATGGCTACAGTCGGCCTGTCTAATGCAATCGTCTCCCATCTTACCGACCGCGCCTATCTTTCTGACTCGACCTAGCTATGCAAGAATTACAAAAATAGCCAAAAAGCGGACACAATTAACTCGCGCCCCTATTGGGCAATACCTGCTGACCTGCAACACTGACTGGATCTGTTGCACGATCAGACCGTCTCTCGCCCTCGCGATTGGCCGTGAGGTAAACATTTCTGCCGCTAGCGAAACGCACCGATTGGATGCAAACAACCAGGTGAGTTGCGCTAACGATTACGTATTTACATTTAGCTACCCAATACCAGCCCTATGTACATCAAATCGGGCACTCTAACAACTGCTTTTGGTAGGGACTTTGCGAATATTGTTTTTTTTACTTGTCCTGGCACTCTCCATTGTCAGCATGCAAGAAGGCGCCCGGCTGCACGGTCATTGCACTATCTGCTCCCGTGCACCACACCCTATGAATGCATGCGCGCACGGTACATAGTCTTTTAGTCACTTTTATTGCGTGTAAAGTATGTATTTGTTTGGAAATATGATAAAAGTATTATTATAGCAGAACCAAAATATTAAATATCATTGTTTAAATATTTTTTAAATAATATATACCCGCCTTATATGTCCATGCTATTGGCTAATATTTGAACGCAAGTAATTGGTTAAAACAATATAATTTGCTAACTTACACACAGTTTGCAAAATGGTGGGCCCTACGTGCAAGCAATGCGAGGCGAAGATTGACCCGCTTCTGCTGAACCTGCAGCGGTCTACGACGGATTCCCGGGCGCGCTGCATCTGCTGTGGAAAGCTGCAGTACGGTTACGCGTTCCGTACGATTAGCGGCCGAGACATCGTGTGGCGCTGTGTAGCCTGCGAGACCGGCCCAAAAGCGGTTAAGTTCTGGGAGGAAAAGCCCCCACCACCTGATTCGGCCGAAGTGCGCCGCCAGGAAAGCCTGGCAAACGTCAAGAAGGCGATGGGTCCTGACTGGTACCCCAAGAAGAAAAAGAGGCGCAGCCGCCCTCGCAAGCTGACCCCCCGAAACGCCAAGAACATCGAGCAAAAGAAGCAGCAGAAGAGCAACTAATGGTAAATATACCCTTTTATGCCCCCATTTTCCTACCTATTTTTGTTTTTGGTATACTGGCTGACGGTGCGAGGCTTGGGGTCGCACATACGGTAAGCTGACTATGGTGTTGACGCACCTACAGAGCGTAGCGCGCTTCATAAAATAATTAGCACATGGAATCAACTGTGCACCGCTGCAAGTTGGTGGTTCCTATCCGCATACGCGTCACCGTAGATGGCACGTACACTCGCTCACGTGGGCACACGCAAAACCATGCTATCTGTACCACCAACGCTCACAGCGTATATTTCATTAATGTGCGCTCACGAATGTAAGCTTCAGTATAGAGTGAGCACTATGCACCGACGAGTAAGTTGCTGTCTACATAGACACAAGCACGTCTATGGTAGTGTTGACCATACAGGTGGTCGTCGCAAGTCGATGTGCCTGTACGCAGTACTGTATTTTAGTTTCCTGTGTATAATGGTCGAGACGAGAGTCCGGTTGAGTCGCGAATGATTATAAGACGTACCCGCCGCGCGCATATTTCGCGCTGACTACTACCTACATATGCGCTGTCAGCTTGCCTGTATCACCGCGGTTATGACCTACGTCCAGTTAGTGGCGCGCTTGGCCATATAGACTGATCCATCAGCGCAGAAAGCTAGCACCACGATGCAAAAGTACCGATAAAGAAACAGTGACCCCATGCATAGGTTAAACTATCTCGAGCGCGTGGCTAATACACTCATTAACGACCTTGCGATATATGCACGGACATATCAAATAGCACGCCGAGCGGGTAAGTAGGCAGCGAAAGTACTCCATCTAATGCACATGAACTATTATTCAATTCAAGTCTAAGCATCACTACGATCTGATACTCTGCCTACAGCCATATATCTTCGTATGTTTGTCGTACATATCGGACCCAGTATAATGTCAGTCGGAAAGGCTTTACGCCACTCTGTCAGTCAGTAGCTATGCAAATAAGTCAGAAAGTACGTCAGCTATGCAAGTAAGATAAATGCATGCGGAAGATAGTGGAAATAACCCTTCAGTAACATCACAAACAGCTCAGCAGAATAATTTCAATGCATAATACTGATGTTTGTGGCGACCATCGGCAAGTACTACCTATCCTAAAAGATACTTCGTGCGAGGAGCTGATTAACATTGCTCTATTAGACCGTTGCAATCGATGATATGTGTCGACTGCCTCACGGCGATGACGTGCAGATGGGTAGTATGGTTGAGTAGGCGTTTTTACTCCAGCTACACTGGGATTCCTCACCGATCTACGCATATTTCGTAGCATCATTGATACTGACCCGTCTTCCGTACAGCATATATTAGCTTTGCAACAACGCGCGTCTCCGATTCGTGTTATTTTGGGAGCAATGCGCTAAAATGAGATTACAGACAGAACCTTCTCGGGTAAGATAGTTCTCATCTTGCAGATCACGTTAATCCCTGGTCAAGTCTATCATAACACGTGAACACTAAGAATATTGTGTGCAGTGTTGGTTTGAGCCGTAACATAAGTAGATCACAGTATACGTTTATTATATGTAGCTTCGCTCTAAGTAGAAAATCTAAGCACACCGCAACGCAGCGGAGGTGGTCGTCCCTCTTTACACCAACAAACCATGCCCTAGCGTCCGCGGAGCGGGCGCCCAGAGCGCTAGTAGCATTGCAGTTAAATAAAAGTTTTAGGGTTCCTGTTGGCAAGTCGGTCTTCTACGCCTATGATATTGTGAATTCCGACCCAATTTGCCGTTTTGGTCTTATTCAGTGAGTCACTCAAATTCATAATTCCTCGCATTTCGTACCTAAGTGGATTCTCTTTCAACTTTTCCGGAAGGAGGTGAGCAACACATACAGACTCTGGAGTGTGGAGAAGACTGTGGTCTTTAAAGATGACGACGATGTTAACAAGAGCACCCTGACGGTAGATATTGATGCGATAATTAATGAAGCTCTCAGCAAAAAAGATGAGATGAAGAGGAAGAAAATATTATTTCTGTGTGACGGGTCTCACCTGACGTTTCCTCGAGATGGCCAGATAGTATTATAGTGCTTTCTAGCCCGAACAAACAATGGCTGAGAGTGGTGAGGAAGGATTGTGTCATTATCTACATGCCTCTTTGAATATGCGAAGAGCTCCAAGAGTGCCGGAGAAAACTCCATTGCAGACGATTTGATCGAGGAGCGGTTTTAGACTTTCGGTGGTGTGGCCCGCGAATGCCTTTTACAAGAGGAAGAGGACGTCGATATTGAGAAACGCGACTTACTCGGAGAGATTCAGCAAATCTTTGACACAGGTAAGCTACAAAATGTCATCGACTCTGTGGAAAATTGCAGAGGTTGTCATCGTATTTTCCATTACGAACCTACTAATAGCACCTAGTGGGTGGAAACAAAGCTTGCATCTCGATTTGTCGTGGAAAACATTGTGCTGCGTCTGCTGAAATCGGTCAAGGACGACAGAAAAAGCCTTTACACTTCGCTAGAAGGTATAAGGGAAATGCTCAAATGGCGAGCCTTTGCCAAACTAGTAGCCCATTAGTTTTGACCAATATTATCCATCTTCGCGTGATCTAACCGTTTTGATTAGACAAAAAGAAAACAGCTGCGTCAGAGCGAAACCCTTAAAGAGTTAATTTACCAGTTCAGTTCCTACCACCTGCAAATGGGGGCGTCTCGAGCCAGTTACACTGAAGCAGAACGAGATGCAGCTGTGCAAGAAGTCCTCGCTGGAGCTGAAATGAAAGTAACGAGTAAAAAGACCAAGATACCGTTTAGTACGCTTAAAAAGTACGTCGCTGCGGAGCGCAAGGGCAGTCCAACACGGCCTCAGCGCCGAGGGTGACCACCACTGCTGTCTAAAGATGCTGAGGATAGTATCCGGGACTGGATACAAGCTCGCCGAAGGTGCGGCCAGCCTGTTAGTCGCCACGACGTACTTGACAAGGCTCAACAGATAGCTCAGCTATTGTGTGGATTGCCCGTTGGAAATGGGTGGTTACGTCGCTTCCTGGAGCGCTACCCGTCGCTTTCGCTAAGATCGTCACAGTCTGTGTCGAAAGCACGCAACGAAGTTGCTGAAAGTGACTTGTCTATACTGTTTTCATCGCTGGCAAAAGTGGTTATTGAACACAATATGGACGCTTCTCGAGTCTTCAATGGTGATGAGACTGCGATCCGGACTACACGGGAGCGCAAGCTGGTTCTCGCCGCTAAGGGCTACTAACATGTGGCACAAGGATGCCAAAACAAGCTTCCATCTCAGTTTTGTTGCATGCGGTAGTGCAAGTGGGTTTGTAGTCCCCCCACTGTTTATCTTCCCCGGCGAGAGTATTAACGACGACCTATTCGAGTCCTGTCCGCTTCCGGGTGCTGCGGTTACGACGACAGCGAAGGCGTTCATGACGAGCAAGGTTTTTGCTCAATGGCTACACTTCTTTTCCAATGCGGTACCAACGCCTCTTCTACTGGTTATGGATGGCTGCTCGTCCCACATTTCTATGGAGATCGTCGATGTTGCTGACAGTATCGGTTTTAAATTGGTGTGTCTACCTCCTAATGGAACCCATCTACTCCAGCTATTGAATGTGGCGGTGTTTTTGCCATTTAAAACGAGCCTTAAGACCCGTGTCGATGGGTTGTTACCAAGCCTCGGCGAGTCAACCATCGACAAGGCAACTGCATTGCAGTTAGCCGCTCTCGTGTGGAATGGCCCTCGACTTGGTATCAATCTTGCAGCTGGATTTCGTAGTTGCGGGATATTTCCTCTCTCTCGGGTCAATATACATGCTAAGCTAGCTAACTTTGATCAAAATGGGCTGCCTGTAACCTATCGGGATGCCGCCTGGGTTGAAATTTCCCAGATAGTGAAGCAGCATATCCCAGTTTTACCAGTGAGACCTGCGAAAGGCAAAAAGCGACACCGGAGGAAAACCGGTGGACGAATACTCACGCGCGAGCTATTGGAGGAGGAATCAGCAAACAAGCGCGCGAAACCCAAGCAAGGTGGAAGAGCTTCGAAGAAGAAGCAAAAAAGCTGTGGAGCATGAGTGAAGGTCTGACTTGCAGAAAATAATAAACTTGTTTAAAAAATGATTCTGTGTCAATATGATGATGGGAAGGATTTACCACCTAGCCCTCTAGAAGTGACAGCGGTCTCAGCTGGGAAGTTATCAGTACTCAAACCAAGTATAAGAAGGCTACTAAATTGGCAAGCACCAGAATTGGGGCGTCTCAATAGACCTGAAAACATAACTCACAAAAAATTACAAAAATCAACGAGTAATTCATTTTTTTATTGGTGAAAGCCGCGTGTCAATTGGACGTTTCTTTAGGAATTATAGCCATTTTGTGACAGTACCTTGTCAGGGCTACTCATTTACCTTACCGCTATGTGCTTCACTGCGTGCGGGGATTGTCGAGGCCGAAGCGCTTAAACAGCTTGCGCTAGGCTGAAGGTTTGAGAGCCTCGATCTTTACTAGACACAGATACTATGGCTAGCAGGGAATTGCTAAAGAGTCTGTCGGCGAATCACCCAATCGACGTTTTAAAGCTCAAGGAATTGTCGCCAGCTACTGCGACTCGCGTTCGTACTCGTTGCATTTCGAGCCGATCAACGGGTTCTATTTGCCGAAGATGGACCCTACCGGTGGTAGCGCGGTGGTGACAGCCAAATAGGTCATGGGTTCGTGTGATTCTGTTCCAGATGACAATCTTGATGACTCATCCTGTGAATGCGTTTGGAATTATGTTGGCCCTCGAGAAACTTGGTTTGTTGGAGGTGGTACACCGCGATCTGACCCGAGCGGCGCTGGTGTTTGTTGTCCTAAAAGAAAAAGAGCGCGACTTTAAGCGACAGGAGATCGTCTCGGCAGCGACAGGCTGCAGTCCAGTCAAGTCGATCAAGGGCATCGGACCAGTAACTGAGCGTATGCTAGCAGCGCGTGAAATCCATACGGTAGGCTAATTGCAAGAGGCGATCGTCGCAGGCACTCTTACGGCCTAGACGCTTCGGCCTCAAGCTCAGCGGAATCTTGAAAGCACGCGAGATGGGTGGGACCTACAGCGAAGCGATGGCGAAGGTTCCTCAGCTCGTCTGGTTTTACCCGGTTATGGTTTTTTTCGTTGCCCGTGACGATGATGCATGTTGTGATCCGGTGCAACCAGCAAGATGCCTTTGGTGACCTAGCAGTACAAGTAGTCAATACATTTGTACTGCAAGAAGGAGCTAAAGCAGTCGACATAACTGCGTGAAGCGGCGATGGAAAATGATGCCTCCTTGAAGTTTTTTGTGGCTCTAGTCTTCTCATGCATGTGCCGTTTATAACGCACTCGTGTTTTCAAAAATGTATTGAGCATAGGGGGTGGGTGCGGATTTGTCTAGAGTAATTGAAGGAATCCAGACGGCGTCGTCCGGATTACGACAAGAAGTCTACCACGTGACCGCAAAATACATGCAATTTGAACATGTACTAAGCTAGAAGCAATCAACGACTTACTCAAAATAAATTAAAAACAAAAACAGTTCCTATTATAACCGTCCCCACCTCGCTGAGCCCGCGACTCTCTTGCCAGGCAGTTCATGAACCAGCACCTCGCATTTGAATTGACCTGCTTCGGAATACAAGTCATCGAGTGAAGCATTAGCTAACACTGGACAGCCATGGAGGACGCGAATCCGGGCGCTGGCAGCACGCTTGACGATGTGTCTGGGGTCTTCTTGACGGAAGCTCGAATTGCCAAGTAGGAGCATCGTTTATCTTTTATTTTATTCGTGTTGCATGCAACTAACGAACAAGTTTGTAATCAGTGGCAAATTCGCGTTGCGCGAGATCAATGACATGGAGCCAGTGGTGTCGGGCATCTCTCAGATGTCACAGTCCACATTGCTGCTCAAAAAGCGTAAAGAGATGCGTGAAATTGATGATGCTTTAGACTTTATGAAAGAGGAGTATGCTCAGCGCATGGAGGCGTGTGACGCCCGACAACGCGAGTTGGAGCGGAAACAGGCTGAAATGAAAGAACAGGTGGCACGATTTGAGAAGTTTATCAAAGAGAACGATTCAAAGCGAACACGAGCCGAGCTAAAGACTAAGAGCGAGCACCGATTAGGAGAAATCAACGAATCTCGCAAGAGGCAGCTTGTCACGCAATTAGAAAAGGACGGGCGAGAGCGCGGAGCTCTAGAACGCAAACGTGACCAGCTGCTGAAATATCGTCAATACCTCGAAGCTGCGGTGGAAGCGTCCGACGGGGAGTTCGAAGAGATAGGCGACATACTCAACCGACACGCCACACTTGTGGATACTAACAACGACTTGAAGGCCCAAGTGCGGGCTGCAGAGGTCGAGACTGACCAACTTCGCCAGCGTATTCGAGCTTTGAAAGTGGAGATGCAAAACATCGTTCTCGTACAGAATAGTAGTATTCATGGACAGCAGCAACAGCTTGAAACTTTACGCTCCGAAGCATTGCGATTGGATCTGGACAGACAACGCAATGACCGCGTAGCCAACGACCGAAGCCGCGAGTCTGGACAGATTGTGCTTACAGTGACCAATCTCTACAGTCGACTTAATCTCGGCGACAAGCTGCCAGTGCTGCGTGAGCAAGACATGGATGTCGCAGAGTATGTTCAAAGCCTACTCAAGGTCATCGCCTCTCGAATCGTGGACCTTGACTTCATTGTCTCCAACTATAAGGACCAGGTACGTCGACCTTCTTTTCTTTTTCACTGGCATCTGATAGTAGACTGGCTGTGCAGAATGCAGCCAAGTCTGGGAATAACAATTGTGCTAGCTCCAATAATCAAAACCAAGCGAATACTGGCCCCGGCACAAATGACATGACTTTAGGGCAGTCTCGAGTAGGGAAACTGACATCTGCAGGAAGTACAAAGCTGCCACCGCTAACCTGAATACATAAGCAAATGCAACAATACAGTAGTGGCTTCAAGTGTTGAGGCATCCAATCGACTACAATCAAGTAATCTGCTGTGAGCCATCCATAAGCCTTATGGATGGCTATGGCATAAGGGTATGTATTTCTGCTTCCAAGTCAGGTGGCAGCGGAAAGAAGCCATCTTCTTTTACATTCTTTTTAGAAATGTGAAGCCATATTGCAGACCGTTGGAGGGCGGACCATCGTAATCGAAATTGGCCATGACAAACGTAGATGGGTTCCTGCACATGTATTCCCAACGACTCTTTGGCAACGGGGTCACTGCAATGCAGCCATATCAAAACCCACCTGCACGCAGCAATAAACATGAACATTCACTGGCAAATATTGCCGTCAGCGCTCATGCTGTCAACTAATAACAAGTAATCAAATGGCAAAAAAACTGTGAGTTGTAACACTCCCACTCTTGAGCAATCCCACTTGTAAAATTGGAGTGTGTACGGCCTTGATTGACTATCAATACATGTACTTCAAAGTAACTCGGATCGATGAAGACGGAGATGGGTAGCGGAGAAAATCTACGATAGCGTCGTCCAAGCCGTGGCGATGCATCTACCAACCCCCCGACTCTACATGTCTTGGCTCGGAGAAAACACGCGTTGAAGCTAGAGTCCAAACGCGAAAGACGAGGAAAAACCTAGAATGAGGTTTTTCTCACTAACGCAACGTAATGGGTGCAGTTGCAACTTTATGCTTTGTTGAAGTTGCGCGCGAGTTGCTCGAGCGGCGGCCGCTTCTTGTGAGATCGCGGGAAGGGGGAGACAGATCAACACATACAGGAGCAGCATCAAGTGTCGGACCACGCGCACAGCTACCTCAGCGAGCAGGAACATCCTCTCGCCGTCAGTGTAGCCCAGCCCCCTCTTCGCCAAGAGACTTGCCACGCGTTGGACCCCAACCGTCCGCCGCCAACTCGCACGTTACCTCACGAGAGAGAAACCCGTCCAGGAGAGAGAGGGGAGACGCAAAAGAAAGCGGAGTGACAAAAAGGAAACCTTTTTGCCTACCCTCAGCTGCCCGCCCTCAAGACAGACATCAAAGCTTGCTGTTGCCGTTGCACTTTTGCACGCGTTGCCAAAGTCGAGAGGTGAGTGTTGATCCGACAGATTGAATTGTCTTTCAATCCATATCCCTCCACCCTGAAATGCGTGAACTAACCACAATCAATCGTCTTCTATTTTTATCCCAGTCTTACGCACCCCAAACAGAAAAAGAGACAGGTACGGACTGCATTTGCACCAAAGTGAAGTGAAAAGACACACGAAGCTGATATCTTTATCGTCGTCGTGTGTGTGGATTTATTATCGTAGCTCAGTCTTTTAATTCCCTTCTAGGACTCAAGTTCCAGACTTTGCAGCCATGTCAAACCCGAACAACGACAACGGGCCGCCACTCCCGTCCTTCGCGGCCGACGGCTTCTTGTCCTCGGCCGGCTCGCCCCCGTACAACCGCAGCAATGGCCGCTCACCTGGCCGCCGCAGCGGCGACCGCTCGGACGAGATGGACGTCATGGCCCAACTGGCCTCGCAGTATTACGCATCTAGCCGCAATCGCTCGTTCTCGGCCCCGATCCAGCCGTCGGCTCTGGGCTCGGCCTGGAACTCCTTCTCAGACGACACGTCTGTGTCGGCCGCGGCCGCAGTGGCCGCCACGCAGCGCCACCGTCAGATGCAGATGCAGACCCAGAACTTGCTCCCCGTACAGCCGCCGCTCCCTCAGGGCCCGCCGCCGCCAGTGCTCAACATCATGGTGCCGCCACCTCCACCCAGTGACGATGTGGCCGTTGGAGCCATTGGCCAAGCTGTCCAATCGCTGCAAGTATCGAACGAGGAGAACAGCGAAGGCGGCCACAATGGAGACAGTGACCTTGCGGGCGCCCCGCTACCGGCCACGTTCCTACGCACAATTTGTGACCAATTGGAGTACTACTTTTGCGACGAGAACCTGCTAGGCGACTTGTTTCTGCTGAAAAACATGAACATGGACGGATACGTGAAGCTGGAGCTGCTGGCCTCGTTTGGCCGAGTGAAGAAGCTCACGACAGACATGGAACAGATCAAGAAGGCGCTGGAATTGTCGACCAAACTGCTGCTCAATGAAGACGAGACCATGGTGTGTCGTAAAGAGCCGCTGGCCCCCAACCAGACGTACCACGGCAAGTTGGCCCGCACGGCCATCGCGTATAACTTGCCGGAAGACGCGTCTGTCGCGTCATTACGTGAAACTTTCCAGGGATGTGGCGAGATTTCGTATCTTCGTCTGCTGAAGCAGAACACGACCACGGGCCGTAACGCGGTGCTGAAGCCTCCCATCGCGGCCGGCGAGACGTACGCCATCATTGAGTTTGTGGACGACGAGATGACCAAGCACGCCGTATTGACGCTGTCGGACCAGTACAACTGGCGCACAGGCATGCAGGTGGTGCTCTTTGACGGCACGAACTGCGACAAGCTGAAGCAGAAGATGTTCCCCGTGGAACTGGGTGGGGACCGTCGTCGGGCCAAGTCGGCCTCGGCCCTTACGCGGCCTGTGCACGTGGAGTCGGTCGGAGAAGGTCTGGACGGTCTACGTGAAGGCAAAGTGAACACGGGCACCGTGTATTCGATCCGTGGCGCCGGCGGACTTATAACCCCCACGCGACAGGACTCGGCCTGTATCTCGTTCCGTCTTATCCCGGATGAAGACGGCAATGTGGACATCAGACAGGGAGACTACGTGTCGTTTACAGTGGGGAAGAACAAGAAGAGTGGCCGCAAATATGCCAGTAAAGTCAAGCTGGAGTTCCGTCCGCCGGCCAATCTAACGGGCGATGCCAACAATGCCGGCGGCCTCAGTGGCCTGGCCGCTATGAGTGGAGGAGGCTCATCAAGTGGAAATGGGCCGAAGGATTACTTCTCGCCGTCGCCGAGTCGATGGGAGTCGCGTAGTCGTGCGGCCACAGTGGGCGCTCCCCCTCAGCCGGCGGCGTTCCGTACCCGTTCGTCATCGTCGGGTACGCGGCCCAAGCTGAACTTGTCGTCGCCGCGAATGGCCCAGTCTCCAGTACACATTAACAGTCTGGGCGGCAACATGTTGGCACCCCCTCCTGGCATGGGAATCAACGGCAGTACCCAAATGTACCGCCAGGCCATTGGGCCGGATGGCACGCGGGGCTTTGGCTCCCGTCGTACCGGTGGAGAACCGCCGGAGATGGCACCGGAACTCAAATTTCCGGTCATGGAGCGTCGGAGATCGCGCTCGTCGGGTGGTGCCTGGTAGATGAAGGACGGCACTGCTGACACTGACACTGTGAACAACGCAAGACAGAAAAGGCCTTTCATGTCAAGACAACCCCCACGCTGGCCTGCGTGATACGCTGGAAAATACGCGAGAAAGATACCAAGAAATTAGCTGCTAGCAAGAACAAAATCTCGACACAAAATGAAAAAAGAGCACACGAAAATGCACACTTTGATAAGGGAAGCGACAAAAAGGGAACGAAAATGTATTTTGAGAGTGTGAAAAAAAACCTTTATACATCACTCTTGTGTTGCATTAAGCATTGGCAACCCGTGGATTTTGAAGTCGCCGATTTGGTTTTCCTTGCCCACGTCGGCGTAGTTGCCTTGGTAACGATTCAACTGGTATTGGCGCCAATTGAACGGACGATAGTTGGCCACCTCGCCCTCTTGCACCACAATGGGCTCCACCGTCACGTGGTTCGACGGGTTGTAGAAGAACGGAGCGGAGAAGCGACCAGCCTTATCACTAGCAACAACGCGGTGCAGCGGCGCAACGAACTTATCGTTCGACCACACCTGTACCATGTCACCGATGTTGATGGTGTCGGCTCCCTTTCGAGGTGGTACATCGACCCACGTCTGCGATATACGGTGAAGCACCTGCAGAGACGCTACTTCGTCATCTTGCAACAAGATGGTGAGAGCACCAAAGTCGGTGTGGTGGTAGACTCCCATCGTCTTCTCCGGTTCCGGTGCCACGGGATAGTGGTTCAATCTCAATAGACTTGAATGGTTTCCTTGGTAGAATTTGTCAAAGAACGCACCCAAAGCAATGGCGAACACCTTCAACAAGCGACGAGCAACGTACTCCATCTTCTTGTAGTACGTTTGCATCTCGTGACGAAACCCGGGCAACGATTCTTCGTCTAGCCATTGATTTTGGTCTTCGAACAGGCGTTCGACCTTGTCAGTCGGAGGGCCGTCTTCATGGGCACCAGCGAAGTCAAAACACTCTTTCCAGTCCGTTTTGTTCTTGGTTAGTCCATCCACGACGTACCCGCGGGTGTTGCTGGCTGTACGGAGGATGGTACGTTTGGTCTCCTCAGGAAGACGGAAGAAGGATCGCATGGAGTCTTGGAACTCGTCAACTTCTTGTTGTGGCAAACCGTGGTTGGCAATGTAAAAGAAACCCCATTCACTTGCAGCTCTGCGTACATCGTCGACAATTTGACCCAGTTTTTCATGCTTCAGCGCAGCGTCAACTTCGGCGTCGGTGGGCCCCATGAGGGCACTGATATCGATAACGGGAACTTGTAGGGATTTTGCTCGCTTACGTTATCTATTTGTATACATGTATAGCAGAGTAAGATATTTTTTTTCGGTCATGACCAGCGCATACAAAACCTAAGTGATTGTTGTCTAAGGATCATTGAAATAATATTAAAAATATATTAACCAACCTCAGCTGAACAATTAAATTGAAACTTCATCGTAAAACATGCTTCATATTACATTCCTACCGAGCTTCTCCTGCTTTTGCGAACTCACCCAACTTGGGGTTGCGGAAGGCGTCTTGTCACGTCTTTGCCAGCAGCGACCAGTTGGACTCAATGGGTATATCGTTGTGCTCCTGCGGCCCGCAAACTGCGGGAAATAACTCACCGCTACGTCGTGGCTGTCGATTGATTTTGGAACTAAAAACATCCGATGAGCTTTCACTTGATTCGATATTTATTATTGCTCATGAGATAAAATTATCTAAGTCGACAAATGATATTTCTGGATCACGTCAAATGTTGGTGAAGCATCCGGCCTTCATGGCAAGACGGCGCTGCACCCAGAAGACCCGAAGCTGGTGGTCAACTTGCCTCCTCCATTGCGACTCCAGAGTGTAGACGCCTTCGGCCGTGTCTCCTACGAGTTCCCAAAATCGATTGGGCCGTGAATTTTGTAGTCGCCGATCTGGTTTTCCTTGCCGAGATCAGCGTAGTTTCCTTGGAATCGAGCCAAGCGGAATTGGCACCAACTGATCGGACGGTAGTTCGGCACGTCTCCAGGCTTAGCCACAATGGGCTCTACCTGCACGTCGTACGAGGGACTGTAAAAAAACGGAGCCGAGAAACGTGCAGCCTCCTTACTCGCCACCACGCGATGCAGAGGAGCCACAAACTGATCGTTCGACCACACTTGCATCATGTCGCCGATGTTGATAGTGTACGTACCCTTGCGAGGCGGGACGTTCACTTACGTCTGTGACGGGCGATGAAGCACTTGCAACGACGCAACCTCGTCATCCTGCAGCAAAATAGTCAGAGCTCCCGAGTCCGTATGGTGATAGACTCCCATGGTCTTCTCTGGCTCGGGCGCCATTGGATAATAATTCAGTCTCATCGTGCTCGACGTATTTGAGCGGAAAAACTGATCAGAGAACGCAGGTTCTTCACCTAACGCGACTGCAAATACCTTAAGAAGACGGCAAGCGGCATGCTCCATCTTGTCGTAGTACGCACGCATTTTCCTACGAAACCCAGGTAGTGTCGTCTCGTCAAGCCACTAGTTTCGATCCTCTCCCAGTCGGTCATTTTTGCCAGTGACAGGGCCGTCTTCTCCGGAACCGGCAAAGTCGAAACACTCTTTCCAGTCCGTTTTGTTCTTGGTGAGCTCTCCTTCGACGTAGCCACGGTTGTTCGTGGTATTGCGGTGAATGGTACGTTTAATCTGCTTTGACAGGCGGAAGAAGGCGCGCATGGCCGTCTGAAACCCGCCCACTTCCTGCTCTGATAGTCCATGGTTCGCGACGTAGAAGAAGCCCCACTCACTGGCAGCAGCACGAACTTCCTCAATGATCTTGCCGAGCTCTCCATGGTTAGGATCTTGTAGAGCGGCATCGACCTCCGTGTTCTTTGAGATCGCCATGAGGCCACTAATGTCGACGACGGGTACTCGATACACGTCCAACTTGATCTCACTTCGCGGATTTTGGAATACTTGTAGCGAAATGTGAAGAGAAGATACCTGCAAATCATTGACGCTGGTTGCCGCCGCATTGTGATTGGCTGGTGGCATTGAAGTGAAGCGTAAATTACTTCGTTGGTGAGATCGCGTAAACGTACAGCGTTTTGAGCTATCCTTTGTAAAAGAGAAGAACTTCGAGGCCAATCACCACATCGATTTAGCTAGCGTCAATGTAATCACGGGCCCTGCTCGGCTTGTTCACTCCCCAATTTGACTTCACGTAAGCAAGCAAGACCTCAATGAACGTCCACCAAGTACCGGTTATCGACATCGGAGCTCTCATGGAGTTCTCTTCCGACGTCGACGTGGATGCTGCGCTGCGTAATCCCAACAGCGATTCGCTCCGCCAGATCATCGAGCAAATACGCAAAGCTGCAAGTGAGTGGGGCTTCTTCTACATCACCAACCATGGACTACCCGAGAAGGAGGTGGAGCACTTCCAAGAAACGATGCGCTCCTTCTTCCGTCTTCCGGTGGAGACAAAGCGCAACATTTCACGCTCTGCCGCTAATGCGCGTGGATATGTCGAAGGAGAACTCACCAAGAATAAAACAGACTGTAAAGAGTGTTTCGACTTCGCTGGAGCTCATGAAGACGCCCCACCTAACAACAAGAATGATCGACTGGGTGAAGAGCAAAACCAGTGGCTCGAAGAAGAAACACTACCGGGTTTCCGTAACGAGATGCAAACATACTACAACAAAATGGATTTTATCTCGCGTCGGCTATTGAAAATCTTCGCAGTTGCGCTGGGTGAAGAGCCTGCATTCTTCGACCAGTTCTTCCACGGCATCAACTCGAGTTTAATGAGACTGAACCACTACCCTGTCGCCCCTGAGCCTGAGAAAACTATGGGCGTCTATCACCACACTGACTCTGGTGCGCTGACTATTCTGCTTCAAGAGGATGACGTGGCATCCTTACAAGTGCTCCACCGAGAGTCACAAACGTGGGTGAATGTCCCTCCGCGCAAGGGCACATACACCATCAATATTGGAGACTTGGTGCAAGTCTGGTCCAACGACCGCTTTGTTGCTCCATTACACCGCGTTCTCGCTAGTAACAAAGCTGGTCGATTCTCGGCTCCCTTCTTTTACCTCCCAGCCTATGATGTGGAGGTGGAGCCGATCGTGGTGAAGCAAGAGGAGGTGCCCAACTATCTTCCTTTCAGCTGGCGTCAGTTCCTTTTGGGGCGTGTGCAGGGTAATTATGCCGACTTGGGCAAGGAGAATCAGATCGGAGATTTCAAGATTCATGGCCCAGTTGACGTTGCGAACACTTAAGTCTGACGTCTCTTCGCTGCGCATGTGGAATCGGATAAAAACGGAGATCTTGCTAAAAAGAGGCTAAAAAATGCATCGTTGAGTGTTCAACTTCTCGCTTTTAAAATCTTGTTTAAATACAAACTCATAATACATTTATCAAAGTCGTGATTTCCAAGATGAGCATGCTTTGAAACGCCTAAAAACAATTTGTGCTGTTCATCTAGAGTTGAAATGCAAGTCTGTTTTTTGCTGACTGATTTATCCAAAAAATAGCTTATAATTAACCTCTTCATACCTTGCAGCTTTAGGCTCGGGTGCGCGAGCTTTGAGCAGACTCCTTGTCTTTTCACAACATCATCGAATTTCCTATCCCAGTAGTTATGAAGGCACTACACCGCGTTGAGCTCGGTCGAAGTCGAAGTCCAGGCTCTTCAAGCTTTGACCTGAGTGCAACAAAGCGCTGCCTGCTTTGCCTTAATACTTCCTCTTCTTTTTTCTTAAAGCCGATAATAGGAAGTTGTCATGTGCAGACGAATTCCCATTAGCTTAGCCAAGGATGGCCAGAACTTGGAGACGAACTTGGAATCTCGTTCGCTGATGATGATCGAAGGTAAACCGTGATGGCGAACAACGCAATCAAAGAAGTCATACGCAGTCTTCTGTGCATCATCAGTCCGGTTGCACGCACGATACTTCGGGCGCTTGGACAACTTGTCGACAACAGTCAAGATTGCATCAAAACCATTGGAATCAGGTAATCCAGTGATAAAGTCCATAGAGACGACAGACCAGCATTCCTCAGGAATCGGAATGGGAATCATCTTGCCATTCTTGCGAGCATTGCTGTGTTTCCAGCGAGTGTAAGTTTCACAACTTTGCACATAATCGCGAACGTCTTGGTCCAAGGTGGGCCAATGATACCATTGCGAAATGCGAAGGTACGTTCGATGAGCTCCAAGATGAGCAGCAATATTGGAGTCATGGAAGCAAGAGATGATGAAAGTTCGAAGATGATTGTCCCGAGTAAACGGAACACACAAGCGCATCATCACCTGATACTTGCGGAAAAGTAAACCATTTTGTTTGACAAATGGTTGTTCCGGATGCTTAAAACGATCTCCGTAGGCTGGGCAATTGCGATATCCAGCAGCGAATTCTTTGTTAATCGAATCAGACCAACCGAGCGAGCTCCAATTTTGAGCTTGTTGGGTCACATTGGTGGCCACAACAATATTCTCAGCCGCAGCGACAGTACGTGGAGTTTCCACTGGTACATGTCGGTAAGCTTGAGTTAAGGTCGGAACAGGGCGCGTGTAGTAACCAGCAGCAACATCCTCCCCATGAAAATAAGGGCGAGAGGGTGGTCGAACCAAATGTTGGTTAAGACTGCGGTAGTCGGTAATAACGCGTCGATTCGTCAGGTTTCGAGCTGCACGGGTGTGGCAGCGCGTGGTACACTGATGAAACGAAACCGTATTGATCGCATGCTCCGAAGATTGACGCGACAACGCATCGGCAACCACATTGAGGTGTCCCTTAACGTGATGCCACTTGAACGTAAACTGTGCGAAAAACGTCAAATAGCGAGCTAGTTACGCTGAAACCTTCGGGTGGTGTAAAACCCATTTGCAAGCAGTGTTGTCCGTGTAGATATCAAATTCACGACCATATAGGTAGTGACGCCACTTGTCTAACGCTAATTTAATAGCGAAGAGTTCTTTCTCGTGTGTTGGCCAATTAATCTCGTAAGGACCAAGTTTCTTCGAGAAGAAGGCTATCGGATGATCTTGACCGGAACGAACTTGAGAAATAACGCCAACAACACAGTAGCCAGAGGCATCTGTTGTTACGATGAAACGTTTCTCGTAATCCGGTAACTGCAACACGGGTGCTTCTTGAAAAGCGGATTTGATTTCCTCAAACGAACGCGTCTGTTCTGGACCCCAGCTCCAGACATGTTCTTTCTTGACAAGAGAACCAAGAGGCAACGCAATAATGGCGTGATCACGGATAAAGCGACGGTAATAACCTGCGAGACCCAAAAAGCTTTGTAGTTGCTTTTAGTTTACTGGCGTAGGCCACTTTGCAATCGCTTCAGTCTTGCGAGTATCAACAGCAAGTCCTTTGGCCGAAATCGTATGGCCGAGAAACTTAACTTCAGCCTGACCAAAGTGACACTTCGAGAGATGACAGAACAATTTCTCACGATGTAGAACCTCGAAGAGAGTTTGAAGATGCTCAACATGCTCTTCCAGACTGATGGAAAAGACACAAATGTCATCCAAGTAGACAACAATGCATCGGTACTTCGCAAAGAGTACCCTCATGAGGCGAGACCAAACACCAGGCATACTGGCCAATCCCATAGGAGCTACACACCACTGGTAAGTTTCAGCGTGCGTGCGAAAGGCGGTATACTTGCGACTCTTGAGCGCGATACGCATCTGGTGATATCCTTGAGCCAAATCAAGAACTGAAAAGATGACACAACCAGACACCTGACCAAAGAGTTCGTCGATGCGAGGCAGTGGAATCTTTGGAACAATCGACTGCGAGTTCACATAGCGATAGTCGATGACCCAGCGGATAGGCAAAGTCGAGTTGCCAGAGCGTACCCACTCAGAGCGAAACAGCCGATGTCCAGAAGTAGGATCTATCTTTGGAATCCCAAAGATGTTGGACACCCAAGGAGAATCAGAAACTTCGATCCATCCTTTCTTTAGCTTCTCTGCAACGAAGAGATCCAGTGCACCCTGCTCAACCTTATACAGGCGGAACGGAGCACGGCTACTTGGAACAGCATCAGGTTTCATGTGGAGTTCGAAATCCACACGACGTGAAGGCGGTAAACCATCCGGTAAAGTTTCCGGAAAGACGTCAGTAAAACGCTTCAATAAGTGAGTGATCGGAACAGGAGTCGACTCACTAACTGGCGTGACCGCACAAATTTTGACATGATACACTTCCTTGTACACATGTTTCTTCACATTACGTTTAAAGTCAACAGCAGCAATCTCTTCAGCTGCTTGACTAGCAAGCGTTGATGGAGGTGCACAAGACACACTTGGAAACGAAATCTCATGCGAACGCCAATTGATACATGGCTGAAACTTGGTAAACCAAGGTTTTCCCAAGATGACTTCATGGGCAGATCCAAGTGACCATTCCATGACTTGAAGTTCGAAACGGTAGCGACCGAATTCAATAGTCGCTTGACCTTTCTTCACAGAACGCGCTTTCGTAGAAGTTCCATCGAACCGAGTGACTTGTGCGACACCAGACGTAGCGGTGTTAGCGACTAAACCTGGGCGAACAACATTGCACGTAGCACCACTGTCAAACATGATAACGACAGGTTTTCCATCACAGGTCCCTTGTTTACGAATGAGTTCGTTCTCACGATGCATGGACGACAAGGTGGACGTGGAAATCCCTTCCACTTCAACAACCTCAACCTCGTCATCGGAACGGGTCATAGACGCTCGTTCAGCAGCAGCAGCAGTTGTAGGAGAGGAAGAATAAAAGTTCGCGGCAGATTGCTCGTGACGGTACTTTCGAGCATACTTCTCCTTGTTCTTCAACTTGAAGCACTGCTCAATGACATGACAAGACTTCTTGCAGTAACGACATCGCTTGTTAGACGACGAAGAAGAAGCAGAACGGCGATTTCTAGTACTCCCTGAGTCAATTTCCATTGGCTCGAGTACGTTCTCCTGAACACGCATAGGCGTGGTTTGCTTTTGGTGCGAATTGTTGTTGGACTGAGAGCGTGATCGGTCCTGCGAAAAGAACGGTGTACGATAGTTCTTACCGCGGACATGATGCGATCGATCATACTCCAAAGCAATCTTCATTGCTTGCGACACTGTTGTACAGCGATGATATTGCACCTCTTCGCGCATAGGACTGACTAGTCCACGTGTGAAGTAAGTGATCTTGTCCAACTAACTGATGTCTGTCACTTGCATGATGGCTTCACGGAAGCGAGAGATGTAATCTTCCAAGCTAGAGCAATTTTTCTGCTTGAGCGCGTACAATTGATCACGCAAACGCTCTTGCAAATCCGGAGGCACAAATTCATCGGTCAAACGGGCCACAAGGTCCTGCATGTCCTTGATATCACGCTTGTTCAGCTTGTACCAAGCGGCAGCATTTCCTTTAAAGTTCGCAGTAGTAATGGCCAAAATTCGAGAATTTTGGTTGTCGTTTTGCCAATCGATGTTTCTGGAATCAAAGTACTGAGCAAGTTGCTCAAAGTACAAATCAACAGATTCTCCCATCTTGCCATATAATTCAGGCAGACGGATACCTTCCACTTTCACTTCACGCTTACTCATGGCTTCAAGCAGTTGTTGCTGCTTGTCAATTATTTCGATGAGTTTCTGCGTGATAGCGTCAGTAGACCATCCTTGAGGATTTAAGGAAGTCATGGTTGATTGTCGAAAAATTTAGCGCTGAAGTGCCGAAAAGGTAGTCAGGTACAGGTGGACATCGACGAGGGGTGCATGTACTGAATTAATCCGGTTCTTATAGACCAGACACTTACAGTACACACGCAATCAACGATAACGCTGATGAAGGATGCGACGTTAGGTACGGGTACTAACTTGATCCGGTTCTTCTAGACCAGACGCTTATGTGGTGTAGTGATTTCTCCGTAGTTGCGGATTATCACCCGTCGACAAAGACGTGACACCGCCCAAGTTGCTCATGCGACGAACCCTCGGTCAGGTGATGTACGGAGACGCCAAGGTGCAAGGGACTCGACGGCGTCACCTCCGAGTTTCCAACAAGTATCGGATACGGCCCTATGTCACTGAATCCAGGCTGTCCTTATTATTAATAATGGACTGGCCGGATTTGCATTCAGCGGACCATCTACGGTACGAACCCTCAGTGGCGGTTGGGATGAGTTCGCGGAATACTCAGCGACCTTTGGAAGACACGTTCACCGTCTGGGACAGGGCGCGGACCGTTAAAGATGCTCATGCGACAGTGCAGACGACGCTTGGCATGCA